ATTATCTTCGTAAGAACAAAAATTAACTTTATTAAAATGGCAAACGGCCGATGCACCTTGTTCTTTGCAAGATTCGTAAATTCGGCGGGGTGCCGGAGTTGCTGCGTTTTCGAAGTCTGCATCTGTAGCGTGTACAACAATATCACCGGGATCACGTATGCCATAATACCTTTGCCCACAACCAAAAGATGATGTCCGTGATCTTGAAATATAAGAAAAAATCAGAAAGTCGCTTGAAACAGCTGTTTATTCACCGTTTTATGGAGCATTTCGTAAACTCACCTTGACGGGCTATCCGCACTTTGAACAGATCCGCTTGCTGATTTCACGTGCGATATAAAGCCAAAATCGACTGGAACATGATCACCTGAGGTATCGTTACTCACATGTCGACGCGAATATGGAGTCGATCGCCCCGATCCAATGCTTTCAGATCGAACTAAACGATGCTTGCTTAGCGAGAAGTACCACAACGATGATGTACCAAACTAATGATGGCACCAAACTTTCGAAATAAATAAACCAGTGACGAGCCGCGTCCTCATCTAGTACTTTTAAGTTTGCGGTTGGATAAGTTAGAAAGCAGAAATTCCGAGGACCTGGTTCATGGCCCCCTAGTGACTCAAAGTCGTTTTAACCTCACTGAAACTTGATTGCTCATTTATCGAACAAACAATGGGCGCTAACTGAAGGCATGCAGCTCGCTGCTGAAAGGCCTGATCTGTGGGAGCATCTCAAAAAAAAAAAACATCATGGAATTAACAATCCGACAGTTGGGATGATCTCGATAAATAATAAATACGATTAAATAATTTAATTCGTCAAAAAAAGCGCTAGGATTAATTACACAAAATAATAAAATTGGTTAAATTCCAAAAACATATTAAAAAACTTCAGAACTCCATTTTGTTTTTACTTTTATCTTTTTACGACCTTTTCCATAACCATAAAATATCCAAGTTTAAATTCAAACATACTGAATTAAAATAAACAAAGCATACATCATGTGAAAATCAAGACTTACCGCGTGACATTGGATAAGGATCAGGAGAAATATA